AGAGCGAGAGCGAGAGCGAGAGAGCAGGCCGAAACGAGAAACGACGTGGTAGAGTCGTAGGTGTTGTCGTCGTCATGTGCGGCATCTCGTCGTCGTGGTCGACGTCGTCGGCGCCATCGAGTTAATCGTAGGCGAATGAGGAGTAGTAGCAGCAGNNAGTAGTAGTATTATCAGTAGCAGTAGCAGAGTAACAGCGAAAGGGGGAAGCTGTAGGAGTAGCAGGTAATAGGAGTTTCAGTGGCAGGATAAAATGTAGTCTTCGACCAGGCTGGTAATGCACTGGACAACCGTAGCACCGAGACATGCTTAGGATAATACCGGCATGAGAAAGCCAAGAGGGGCAGCATAGAAGCAAAGGCATTTCAATTTCCGGCCATTCATGGACCTACGAGACACCAGCACCTGGCATAGCCTGGAGGCTCCACTACAATCTGACGTTGCTTTTTGCGGCTCATATGTTACAGGTGTTAGCACATCTTATCCTACGTCTATGACAATGAAAGTGATGATGGAGGTTCAAAGCGAAAGCTATGCAAACAAAGCCCGAAAGGAAGTCGTTTAGGGTTTAGGGTTTAGGGGTTTAGGGTTTAGGGTTTAGGGTTTAGGGTTTAGGGTTTAGGGGTTTAGGGTTTAGGGTTTAGGTACAGTACGCAAATCCTAGGCAGCAGTCTGTAGACAAAAAACACCTATAGGGTGTCACATGTCAGGTTCACCAAGAGTAACCAACCTGATTACCATAATTCATCCAAACAACGCCAAGCCTAAACCCGAGCATCTTACATCCTGAACCTTACCCCCTAATCCCTAAACCCTAAACCCTAAACCAAAGCCCGGGATGTGCGGTTGGGGTCGAAGCCGCGTGGTCCCTGGAGAGAACCGCTTGGGGCTCGAAGTCATCCTGATTCATCTAGATACTCTGGTTTGAGGTCTCGCCAGAGAGAGGTTTCGGGTTCAGGGTTCAGGGTTTAGGGTTTAGGGTTCAGGGTACCTGAACCCTACATGACCTACACATTTTAGATTTTAGGCTTCCTTGTTCTCACTTCCTTTTATGGATGGGTTTTGAGGGTCCAGGTAGGGTCTTAAGGTTTTAGGCGTTTAAGGCTTAAGTTTATGGTTTGGGGTTTGCAGGATTTCATTTACGGTTTGGGGTTGAGGGTTTGGCGTGTAGGGTTTAGGGTTTAGATTTTGGACCGTTATGGCCGTTTGGTCTCCCAGAAGGCAACCCAAAAGGCCCCAGTACAAACATGGTGGAAAGCCGGGTTTGGATTGTAGGAGCTGTTGTTGTCGTTTGGGTATCTATCCCCCGAAGATAGGTATTTGGGACCCTTTGGGCAAGGTCCCAGCGGATGTTGCGTTCCGTGCGGACTCTTGCGACGAAAATCGACCAGGAGACGGGTTTTCACTGCCGGATTCAGTGCAGAGTACCTAGGGTTCGGGCTTAGGGCCTAGACCCAGGGTATAGGCGTGCAGGGTTTAGGGCCTATAGTGAACCCTAAACCCTAAACCCTAAACCCTAAACCAACAAGGATTCAGATGACGTGAGTCAGGACTCTACTACTTCAACTTGCATGCTTCTACTTTCAGGCCCCCACCTGAACCGAAATAGCCTACCTTTCAGGGTTTCTTTTTTTAGGATTTCCTTACATAAATTGTTTAGGGTTTAGGGTTTAGGGTTTAGGGTTTAGGGTTTAGGGCCCTAAACCCTAAACCCCAAACCCTAAACCCTAAACCGACTCTCAAAGAGGTAGGCCCTCCGGCTAAGCCCTAAACCTCGCCAGGACATACAGTCGATGAAGGCACCCGGCCTCATCAAGATGCCTCTGCCGCAGTCACCATCCCTCAAGGGGCTGGTCTGATCAAGCATCTCAGGTGTGCCCCACTCTAAGCCAACATAAACCTTTCAACTTTAAACCCGAAAACCCCAAAAGAAACCCTAAACCCTAAACCCTGAAACCCCAAAGAAACCCCAAACCCTAAACCCTGAAACCCAAAGAAGCGCTTCTTGTCGCAACGATCCTTTTGCCGAGAATTGCATGCGCTGTCAACGGCTTGCTGACACGAAAAGACCCCGAGACATCGCCAGGAGAAAGCACTGCTTTCGGGGGATTCAGGCCAAGGAACCTAAACCCCTAAACCCTTAACCCTAAGCCTTAAACCCCAAACCCTAAACCCCTAAACCCTCAAATCTAAACCCTAAACCCAAACCCCTAAACCCTAAACCCTCAACCCTTTTTCGGGATCCCTATTTTGCTTTCCTTTGTATAAGCCCTTAGAAAGGTATGTTTTTCTAGGGTTCAGGGCTGAGGTACAACTGCTTTGTCCTCCAAACCCAACGTGACTGGTTATAAGTGGGGTTACAAGTTCACCAGTACACGTCATAACTACAGAAGTTGTCCTATACTTACAAGGCCTACTTATGACTTATAAGTTTTAACCACCCATGAGCCTCCAAGAAGGGTACAGTAAACGCTGTTCAGCTCTACCCGAAACCTACAAAACCTACGCTGTCTTAGGGTTCCTCAGTATTAAGTCCACAAAAGGTAGGGTATTTGTGGTTGAGGCAGGCTTTATGGATCGTGCTTCACGTGTATTACCCTAAGCCCTGTGGCATGTTTGCGATCGCTGTCGCTGACCCGAAACCCTCAAAACCCTAAACCTATAACTCATAAACCTTAAAACCCCAAACCCTAAACCTTAAACCTATAAACCCAACCCCTAAACCCTAAACCTTAGACCAAACCCTAAACCCCAAACCCTAAACCCTATAAGCCCTAAACCCTAAAGACAAGCCTTTCTCTGCGCAGCCATCAGCCCCGACCGTACAGGCCCTCGCAGCGAGCCCGCAAGCGTTAGTTTCAGGGTTTTAGGGTTTAGGGTTCAGGGTTTTAGGGTTTAGGGTTTAGGTTTAAAGCCAGTGGCGAGGCTCATGATCGAATGAGAGCATATGCCTTCAACCGCACGATTTGGACTCCAAGAATTTGACCCTTCTTTTACCTGTCTTGAGACGTTCCCTCTGGTTTGGGGGGTTATACGCGGGTATAGGTATCTGTTGATCACCCTGACCACACTTGGGTGAAGAGATTTTGTTGCATAGAGAGCACAAGGTATTCTAGAGGCAAGAGCACTATGACGCTGCGAAGGTCTATTGATTTAGCCTCGACCCTGCTGCCCTTATTACAGTAGAGGCCCAGAATCCCAGCACTGATTGTCCTTATTCCGGCTTCAATTTTTTTGTGGTTATGGTACTGGTTTTAAGTGTTGCGGAGCATAGGCCCTTGATGAACGGCCACAACCCGAAAACCATCAACGACCCTAAACCCCAACAAATCCGAGCACAATCTGCCCGTCCTATTCGAAGACTTATGGCCACTATATTCCAACCCTTGTAGTATAAACCTTGTAGAAGCCTTTTTTAAAACCAGGAAGCATTTCACCCTAAACCCTAAACCCTAAACCCTAAACTTCAAGGCCTCTGGTAAGGTTGAGGGTTTGCAACCGAGTTGCTCAGAGTTTCACCCGCCGAATTTCTGTGTGATTTCCATGCCGCAGCCTGCGCGCCGGCCTTTGGCACTTCGGCAGCACAACGGTTTAGGGTTTAGGTTTTAGGGTTCAGGGTTTAGGGTTTGGAGCCCTATAATGAGTTGAAGATTCTTTTGTTCTTGAGGGCTTAGGGGTGTAACGAGTAGAACAGGTGTTGAACAAAGGGGTCCATAGGGGCCTCGGCTTTTAGAATACTTTCGGCTTCCTGACGGATCTGCCGAGCGTTCGGCTATAATTCTATAATTTGCTGTAGAAGCTGTAACATTTCGACACGTCGAACATGCTATATCCTAAACCCTAAATCCTGAACCGCATAGGGTCCTTACAGGGCTCTCTTCACATGGGCTGTTCTCAGGCTTTACTTACGGTTTAAAACAGAATTGGGCCATAGCTTTCGAGTATCTTAAAGTCTCATTTAAACTCTTCGGGACTATAAAGTGGATGTTGGCATTATTGCTACCTCGATACTAGGGTTGGAGGGCAAGGGTTGTTTGGGATTCAAGGGTTCTGTGTTTACGGTTTTACGTTTTAGGGGGCTTTGTGGTTCAAGGTTTGGGGTGCAGGATGATCTCGAGGAGTGCGGAACTCGGTCTTAGAGATGTTTCTTGGTAGGATAATCGTTTAGAAGCGATCCCAACAGCTGAATCCCCCAAACCCTAAACCCTAAACCCTAATCCCTAAATCCCAAACAAGGTGTTCAGGCTTCCTTTTATGTATAAGGGTTCCTGTCCG